CAGACTAATTTTGTGTTCTACACAAGAAGAGTAGGAATTGAAATGCCAAAAATACTTCATTGTAAAGGACATCAAGGAACATCGGTGCTGTAACTACAATTGTATACAGATGGTTTCTGACTTAGGATGGCTTAACTTGCGATTTTTCAACTTTATGACAGGGTGAAAGTGAGATGCATTCAGTGGAAACTCCACTTCGAGGATCCATACAACCATTCGGGTTTTCACTTTCAGGGCGGTATTCAATAAATTCCATGAAATTACATGAGATAGTCAATGCTTCATTTTACATAGGTGTTGTATGAGATAATTTTGCCCTGCCAGAGGCTAATGTAAGTGTTCTGGGCATGTTTAAGGTAGACGGGCTAAGCTGTGATGCTCGGTATGTTAGGTGCATGAAACGCGTTTTCAACTGACTCTGGAGCTGTTGGGGCATAACCCATTGTAAGCTGGGGAGGACCTGTATCGTTTTCAGGCACGCTTTGCTTTAATGTAAATGCTCTCTTAGGACAAGTGGGATGACTGGGGTACTGAAAAGTTAGGTTATAAACCCAAGACCTTACCTGTGGAAGCTGGCAGGTCTGGTCAGAGCTTTGGTCCTGCTGCCCTTTCTGATACATAGTGTCACGGCAAGAAGCAGGCATCAGGGAGGCAGGCTTACAACCCAATGTGCTGATGTTCAGAAAAATAGCCAAAAGGAATGTTTTCTTCCAAAATCCATAGGCTGGGTGCCAAATTCAACAGTTATACCATTGTTTTAAACGTCTCACAACTCCTGTTTGGAATTGCCCTCCAAATTCACAGAAGCAAATCTCGCATAGGTTTGTATTTTATTGACGAGGCACAGTTTTGTATTAGATATGGTGTTGTGGGGACCTGACCCAGTGCCGCACTCACATGGCCATGACTGAATGAGCCCTGGGGTAGGGGAGGGAGACAAGAATTCCACTTAGGGGTGGTGCTGGCTTTGGGGCAAATGTTGATTTGGCCAGGCGGGGTAGGAAGCATTGAAGTCCCATGGAGACACCCTGAATGACATTTCCAACAAGGCAGCTCAGCCTGTCAGCAGGTGCTTGCTTCAACTGTGCCCTCTATTCCCAGGGTCGTTTCTGGTGCTCTGAACACACAGGGCTACTTTGAAACTCAGGGCCTTTGCACAAGTTCTCTGTGACTCAGCTGCCCTCTCCCTCGAAGATTTCTAATTCCTCTCTCAAAATTGAGCTCAGAGGATCCCTCCCAGGAAGAAGACACCCTGCCCCCCGCCACCAACCCTTTCCAACCAGGGCTGGAGAGGAAACTAACATTGAGCGAGCCACCGTAGGCCGGGCACTGTGTTAGGACTGTCTCCCTGTGACCTTGTTTGACTCCGTGACGCAGTATCATTATCCTCATTTTCCAGACTCGGAAACGAGCCACACAGCAAGCTAGGGGCAGAGCCCAGAGGCAGACCCAATCTGTGCCAAGCTTAGCCTCACTGGGGCCCTGCTCTGTCACTCTCATGCCATTTAGGAGTTCTGAAGTTTGTCCCCTCTGCTCTGTGAACTCCGGAGCCTGGCAGCTGTGGTCAGATGGTAGCCCGTCCAGGCTCACACACAGCCTGGCTTGCTCTGGAAGGCTAGAGCTGTTGATTTGGGGGCGGCTCAGTCCCAATCCCAGTGGAGCAGAGAGGAGGTGGCTTCTTGGCCGGCAGGTGTCTCTCATGGCTAGTGGCTCTGGTGGCCACAGTTTAGATGAGAGGGGTGAGGGCCCTGGCAGTCACGGTGGGTACCCTCCTCACTCCGCTGACACTTCTCTCCTCAGCCTCCTCTCTCAGTTGCAGCCAGTACCACGTCTCCCCGCCAGCCCCTCCTCAGCACTGTGGGACCCTGAAGTTCCCAGCTCAGAATCACAGCTCTGGCTCCACTGGAGTTCTACTGTGTGCTTTTCTTTCTTTTTCAATGGTTTTTTATGCAAAAGTACTTTTGATTAAATGAAATATGTGGTAACACTATAAAATTTTATGGGAGTGAATCAAACTATTTTGGGTATCATACTTGCGGAAGTTTTTTTTTTTAATTAAAAAAAAATCAGAAAACAATTTTTTTTTTTGCCTTTTCTTACCAGATTTATAAAGACGTGAACCTCTGTAAATACCAGATAAAGCAAGAGGCAAATCCCAACAAGTAAAACGAACAGCCCCTACTGTTTCTGCCAGCGACATCTTCTTGCTCATGGTGGTTTCAGTTCCTATCATTCAACCTCACCTCACATCCCAGGGCTGTCCTGAAAGGTCTTGGAGGAGCCTGACCAGCTGCCGTGTTCTTCTGAAGGGCGGTGTGGAGGCCAAGGCAAGCAAAGCGTGCTGGACACAAAGGGTCCCCGTCCCCTCATACGCCTTTCATGACCCCATGCCTTGCGAAGAGTGACCAGGGTTAAAGCCCAAGAATGACATTTTACCACGATTCTCTTGAGTTAAATTCCAAGATGAACACAGTGGGTGCACAATTCCAAATGTGTTTAACGCAGCTGGCGAGTGTATGTTAATACAGCTTCCTTACAGGTGTGGGTTTCCAAAGACGCAAAGCCCCAGGCAAATGGGGTAGGTGTCACTAGCTCCAGGGCCAGGTTCATGGGTTTCTGTCTAATCACGATAGATAGAAAGTCTCTCGCCGGCATCATTGTGCTGGCCAAGCAAGACTCCCCGCCCCCAACCCAGTGCATTATAGAGAGATCCAAAATGAAGTGACCGGCAGGAGCACCCCCTTCAGCTGGGAGCCGGGGACAGCTCAGACAGCTCGGCTTTGGCCTTTTGGGCTGTTGTACTACCTGAAATAGTTCTGAAAAATATCTAGATACTTCTTTTAAGCACTGGGACCGTTTCTTTTCAATAAGCACTTTGAACAATTAGCCTGCAGGGTTTATAAAGGCCCCCAGCTCCTCCATTATCAAATATTTTGGGGCCAGGTGTGTTTCAAAATTCAAATCTTGTTGAATGTTAGAAAGATCACATAGTACCTTATATGTTATATAGTACTATGTGAGGCAGTGCCAGTAATCAAGTTAATAATGTTACCGTAGAATGTAGGCAAATTCATACCAAGTCAAACACATATAGATACAAATAGGCTCGTATCTTTTCAGCTGGGTTTTGACACCACATAAGGTCAAATGAGTCATGAAAAACTTGTAGTTATCAGAGGTTTTTTTTTTTTTTTAGACAGAGACTTGCTCTGTTGCCCAGGCTGGAGTGCAGTGACATAATTTCAGCCCACTCCAACCTGCGCCCCCTGGGTTCAAGCGATTCTCCTGCTTAAGCCTTCTGAGTAGCTGGGACTACAGGCATGCACCACTATGCCTGGCTAAGTGTTATATTTTTAGTAAAGACAGGGTTTCACCATGCTGGCCAGGCCGGTCTCAAACTCCTGGCCTCAAGTGATCTGCCAATCTTGGTCTCCCAAAGTGCTGGGGTTACAGGGGTGAGCCACCACGGTAAGTTTGCTTTTGGAATTATTTATACATCTAGGCACTGGAGGTCCAGCTTTTGACTTCAAGGAGCTGCTTGTAATCTGCTTGGGATGGGTAAAGCTGACCTACCCGGCCACCTATGAGGCTGGGCAGTGTCTGATTAGGAACCCAGGGCTGTTCCTGAGCCTCTCCTGTTGCCTGGCTTGTGCATATGCTGTGGTGTCCACACACACTTCCCACTTGGCTGGTACAATTACCATGCAGGGAGGCAGGGGCATGACGCAGGGAAGGAGTTTGAAGCCTGGGGCAGGTAAGCACTTGGCAGCATGGTTGGACCATGAAATCCAAGCTCGGGCCCTTGACCCCATCCTTTGTCCTGGCACCATGCTGCACTCTGCTACTGCTGAGCCTTCAAGGTCCTTTCTCATAAACGAAACAGGGTGAGAACATGAGCTTTGGGATTTGATATTTCTTATGAACTTAGAAGAACTAGGGTTACTCTGTGGTTTCATGTGCTGTGGAATTTCCAGGAAGGAAGAGAGGCCTTATTTGCTGACATGGAGGAAGCTATTTGTGGGGGAAATGGGTGGGATTAGGAAATATACTCAACACCTAATCAAAATGGTCCACTGGTTTAGCGTTTCTGAAAAAGGAAAGAGAGAAGAGGATGACAGTCCTCTCCTTCCTTCCACTCTGCGCCTCTTCCTTCCCTCCCTCTGGCAAGATTGTCAGCCTGGACCAGCTTCTTAGGGAATTTGTGGTGTGGTGGGGAAGGCTGCCAGGTCCCCTAGTGGCTCCATCCTAAGGTCTCCTGGAGTTTAGAAGACATACCCCATCTGGGGGCTCTTGGACAGCCTTGCTCACTATCGCCTGAATGCAAACACACCCAACTCTTCCAGAATGCATCCTGCATGGGTCCTCCTTGGTCCCTCTCTTCTGCAGCTCACCAGCCATGAGCCCTGTTCTCACTCGTGTATCCTCTAGAGGCTTCTCCCCTAAACATCTGCAGTCCTCCAGCCTGCAAGCTTTATAGGCCGCTCCATTTCACATGGAAAACAGCAAGCTCAAGGGATGTACCTGCAGGAAGTGTCATTACTGTGGTCAAGGCTGGCGGCAGATAGGGCTCCCGGGGTCCCCTCAGTTAAGACCTGACCTCGCTGCTTAGATGCAGGAGTCAGAAGCTCTCCCAGTGACCCTAAAGTGTAGCCAGAGTCGAGAGCTATGCCTGGTCAGCACCTTCCCCTGTTGGTTTCCTGGTCTCTGGCTTTCCCAGAGCCACCCAGCTGGATGATGGGAAGTCAGCTCCCCGGCTGCAGGTGTCCTGATTCTGCAGACCTGTCCCAGGCCCGACTGAGTTGTGTAATGACTGCGAGCAGTTCCTCTAACCCTACCCTGAATTACTCACTGGCTGGTGGCCTCTGCGGTCCACAGGGCTAAGGTTTCTCTGCATAGCTGGATTATCAGCATCCTGAGGGCAGAGGCCAGGCTGTCCCTTTCTCTGACCCCCAGCTGAGAAATAGATCTCTCCATGGTGACGACTGTTCCCTTCCTTCCAGTGCAGGGACTACCGGGGCGGTGCGTTGGCTGGGGACCTCTGCGAGGACCTGTGCGTGGCGGGAAAGCTGCTATTCCGACGCTGTCTGCATTACAACAGGGGCAAGAAGGTGCTGCAGGCTGACTGGCAGGGCCGGCCCGTGGTCCTCAAGTCCAAGGAGGAGGCCTTCTCCAGCTTCCCACCCCTTGGCCTGTTGGAAGAGGAGGCAGGAGAGGGTGGCCAGGACGTCCCTGAGGCAGAACTCCTCCTGATGGTGGCTGGGGAGGTCAAGAGCGCCCTGGGCCTGGAGCTGTCCAACAGCAGCCTGGGGCCGTGGTGGCCGGGCAGGCGGGGCCCGCGCTGGCGGGGACAGCTGGCCAGCCTGTGGGCCCTGCTGCAGCAGGAGGAGTATGTCTACTTCAGCCTGCTTCAGGACCTCAGCCCCCATGTGCTGCCTGTGCTGGGCTCCTGCGGCCATTTCTATGCCGTGGAGTTCCTGGCTGCGGGCAGCCCCCACCACTGGGCTCTTTTCCCCCTGGACCGGGCCCCGGGTGCCCCTGGGGGTGGCCAGGCCAAGGCCATCAGCAACATTGCGCTCAGCTTCTTGGACATGGTGAACCATTTTGACAGTGACTTTTCCCACCGCCTCCACCTCTGTGACATCAAGCCAGAGAACTTTGCCATCCGGAGTGACTTCACAGTAAGTGGTGCAGGGCGGGTGTGTTTATGTGTGAAGAACGGAGTTCTCCGGTCTGCTGGGAAGGAAATGAGAGGGTTTCTGAGCTCCTGGCCTGAGTTAGCAAACCACTGTCGCTTCTGTAGTCTCAAATAACTCAGAGAGCTCCCACTCACCAGACCACTTCCTCTCGGATGTTAGCAAGGAACAGATGCATCTGGAGTGAGGATTTGAATGGCGAGAGCCCGTGGTGGGAGGCAGAAGGCCAGGCCAGGTTCGTCCTCCCAGGGCGCTGTTCTGGTCCTTCACCTGAGCCCCATGGCTGCTTTGAGGAGCCTCTCTTGCAGGTCTGTTTAACTTGAGCAGAAAATAGTCTGCAGGGGGTGAGGGGCTGAAGAGGGCGACGAGGGAGGGTGGCCTCTGGTGTGGGGGTGATGTTCTCAAGCTGTACACGCTCTGTGACCCGGTGGTTTTTTTCTGGAGAGGTTCCAATTAGTTTCCATTCCCTACGTAAGACTTCTAGAGGAACAGATGGAGCTTTCATGCCTTCCACAAGGGAAAGACCTGCCCAGGTAGAAATATCTGCCACTGCACCATGGGGCACATGTGTGTTCATCTCCTGCACCTGGGGCCAGGCAGCCACATGAGAACAGCAGGAGTGGACGAGCAGCAGTGGGAGCCTCAGTGTCTTCATGTAACACAAACCCCTCTCCCTTTACCTGGCTGGGCAAACACTGATGTGTCAGAGTAATGCTGCTGCAATGATCGCAATGCCCTCATGCTGTGCCAGGCACTGGGACCCTCCGACAGGAAGTAGTAATAAGGCTGGCAGGGATGTCGCGGGTGTGGGATGGGTTTGGGGAAGGTGGCGTGCCTTGCTCCCCACCTGCTGTAACAAGTTCATTCTTACGTGGTCCGTGACATCGACCGAACAGAAAGACCAGCTTAGCTCCAGTCACCGGCGCCTGCTGGTCACTGTGGGGCCTGGTTCATGGTAGGGTCGTGTTCTTCATCATGGTCGTAACATAAAGGGACAAAAAACAGGCACAGTTACTGCCAGTCATGGCCTCCAAGGCAGGTGGCACAGGAGTGGCATGGCCTTCTGAAAGCAGCTGGAAAGCTAAATCTGCTGCCAGTGAAAATCCCCTCTCCAACCATGTCCTCATCCCTGCGAAGTGCATTGTACATCTCACCTTCAGTGCTCTGTCCTGATGCCTCTGCCCCTGCTGCCAGCAGGGGCTGACAAGCCGGGGAGCCTCAAAGTGTGGCGGGGAATGAGCTAGGAGGTTCTGGGAGGTTCCAGGGGGTCTGTGTGCTGGGCTGGGGACTCCAAGGGAACTCAGCTCCATTTGCAATACTTGAGTGCCATATGCATCTCCCAGACACTGTGCCGATATGTGTGTGGCGGGGAATGACCCATAGGCACACTGAGGCCTTGGGGGGGAAGTCAGTGAGTATCCACGTACAACACCCCAGCTCCGAGCAGCTGCGGGCCAGTTCTTGCCACTCAGTCACCCCCTTCTTCCTCCGGCAGGTATCAGTAAGCATCAGTGAGTGGGATCCAGCAGGTGCCGTAATTGTTGAGGGAATTTCGAGGATATCTGCTTCCTGAAGGAGCCGGGGCTGATGGGGTCTGTGAGGCCGAGTGGACGTCATCAGATGCTTTTATCTATACACTTGTCGATTGTCCAGTGACTGGTTTGTGGGAACCACCTGAGTTGTGCCTCCAATACCTTGCACACCGTCAGCACAAAACATTTGCTCAATGAAATAATGACTGCGCAGCCTACGCCTAGCCCTGGACTGTGTTTTGTTGGCTGGTGCTGCACCGCTCAGGGCTGTTACCTCCACTGCAGCCTTGGCTTGGGTGAGAATAGGGAGGGGAGGACAGGAGTCATTCCCGTCACCAGTCCTGCTGTTCTGGAACCTTCTTGCAGACCGTGGGGTTCAAGGAGTTATTTTACCCAAGCTTTTACAACTTTTGAGTGAAAACCAGCAGTATCTGCATCACCAGAGAGCTCATTAGAAATGCAGATTCTCAAACACCACCCCAGACCTATTGAATCTGAAACAACGGGGTTGGGGGCCAGCAATCCCTGTCTTAAACACAAGCCTCCTCGTTGATTTTCATGTGGGCTCAAGTTTGAGAGATGGTGAGCTCAGAGTCCGGTGGGTGGGTCCTGCATTTGAGCCCAGGTTGCTGGGCTGCCCCTGCGGAAGGAAGGGGCACCTCCCAGAGGATGCCCACTTGCAGATCTTGAGGGTGTGCCCAGTGACTGTAAATGAGTAACTAGGAATCATCACGACTTCATGACCCTAAACTATTGCACCCCAGTACTCTTTTCCAGCAGATGGTATGGTTTCCTACTCCAGGGCCACACTTTTTGGTGAAGAATGAAATAATTCTTGTTCATTTTCCTATTCTGATGCCAGGAGGAAGTTTGAAGAAGATGAGGCAAGTTGGGTAATTTCATGCAGGAAGGATTTTATGATTCTACTGATGTTACGAAACATGATGTAGGTTTTTCTGTTCTTTTTTTTTTTAATACTGTTCTTATTTTAGGTGCATAGGGTTACGTTTATAAGAGCTGTAATCCATTGTAGACCTCATACACTAAAAATTAAAAAATAAATCTGGCTCTCCTTGAGAGATGAGAAGGAAACTATCAGAAAATGGGAAGGAGAAGTTGCAAGAAGCTAAAATTCTAATTAGGGGCCCAGGGGAGGCTGGGGAGTGTGCTGGAAACCATAGAAAGAAGAGCCGTAGCCCCAGGAATGAATTATAAAGACGGGAGTCATTAGCATAGCCCTTCTTCATTCTTAGTGTGTTAACCAGCACAAATAATGAAATCAGCTATTTGTTTTGGCTAAATAATGGGTTAGGAAAGATTAAAATGAGAAATTGTAGTGCCCAAATTAGTAATTAGGCAAAATCCCTTAAATAGAGAAAAGGCCTATATTGTTTATTTTCATTATTCCCCACATATTTTGAAATACAACTCCATTTTACTAAATAATCCGCAAGAAGCTTCATTGCCTTTAGCATCAATCCTGAATGAAAAACTAAAACTAAAACCCAAACCAAAATGTGCTTCCCAAACTGCATAGAACTGAGGAGGAATGACCAATGAATGAAACGCTGTTTGAAACACTCCCAAAAGGAGAAGGAAAGGCTGCTATTTGGATGCTGACCTGTGAGGGCTTGTGAAATGCCACTGACTCCATCAAAGTCATCAAGTTTCCTAGTGGCTGTTTAACACCCGAAGCTATAAACGGCTTGATTTGGGCAGATTCCAGGCTTTCTCAGGTTTGAGCTCATCTGTTTTTGTTGTTGCATCCAGGTGACTGAGGAAAAGCTGCATATTTTAGAAGTTCTTCTTTTTTTGTTTTTGAAGTCTGTTTGGTTCAATGCCAGGGAGATAAATCTGAAGTTCCCGGGGGTCATCGGGTTCTCACGACGACAGTGAACTCGGGCGTCGCTCCTGTTCAGGTCCTTTGCATATTAATCTTAATTCGAGAACTTTCCCCCACTTTGTCCTCTGTCAGTCCAAAACCAGCTGACCCAGGTAACAGATATGCCATGAAGAGAACACAGGCATTGCCCACCTCAGTTTCTCCATCACACCCGGAGACCTGCCACTGGAATGTAGATTCCTTGGATTGCTTGTATTCACGAGGATAGATTCTCTATTTTACAGTTTTACAGACCTTCTGACTCTTGAGGGTCAGAAACCAAAGTGGTAAGGGAGCAGAGGGGAAATTCATTTACAGGACATCTCAGAGATCCCACTGGCAAAGCTGAGAAAATGTCTAAAGATGAAAAGTGATATTTGTGGTGACAGTTCTGAATCCTGGGCTTTCACCATGGCTGCAGAGGTTCTTTTTGCAGTTAAAGCCTTGCAATAACCATGACAGTTGCCTGTGTAAAAGAAAATGCATGCAGGCACTTTAGGGGAGCAGTCCACTCCCCAGGGCATGGCTGGGGCTTTTCTCTTGGCTCGTGGGAGTTCGGGGATCACCTGTGACCTGGACAGTGGCACCCGCATGAGCTGAGCAGAAGCTGTGAACAGGCCCCCTCTCCGCAGAGCTGACCAGTAGCCCTTTGATAGCCCCGTGCTCCTTTGATTACAGGTGGTGGCTATTGACGTGGACATGGCCTTTTTTGAACCTAAAATGAGGGAAATCCTTGAACAGAATTGCACAGGAGATGAAGACTGCAATTTCTTTGACTGTTTTTCAAGATGTGATTTGCGAGTCAACAAGTGCGGAGCACAGCGCGTCAACAACAACCTACAGGTAAGCAGAGGCCGCCGGGGCTGGGGGAGGGAGGGCGGGTGTTGTCCGGCTGTTCCTGCCGCTAGCACTGCAGATACCCTCTGTGGAGCTCAAGGGCAACCTTTTCAGGCCATCCATCTGGCTCAGTCGATGTGGTCAATGAAGGCAGAACCGCAGGGATGGGACAGTCATGTGCTCTTTGTTGCCCTCCCCCAGGGTTGTTGGTCAGGTGACCCAGGGGCATCTGTTGAGGGGTGTTCCCTGCAGAGCTGGCTGCTGGGCTTCCTCTTGCCCAGGCTCCACCGCACGTATCAACAACCTCTCATGGACACAGGCACACACACGATGAGAACCCAGAGACTAATACACCAAAGACAAGACTGAGAAGGGTGCAAAGCAGTCCTGAGGCACTGGCCTCACTACAGATTGAACAGAAAGCACCATCCAGACAGGCCAGGAGTCAGGACCAGAAGGTAGTTTAGAGTGAAAGAAATGAGCCGAGTCCAGAAGATCAGCCACACGTGGAATGCACACAGGTCTCGGGCATTCAGAGGCAGTGAGCCTCAGGCTCCCTGTCTGGGGTGGAAGCATGTCCCCTCTGGTGGCAGCAGCTGTTTCTTTCTGCCCTCACTGAGGCTTTCATGGAGGGCGGATGCACCTGGGCCCACAGGTGCTCATCATAGCCGGAGGAGGTCCCGCAGCGTCCAGGTGGGCCTCCGGTGGCCTGGTTGCATGTGATCGCTCACGAGGCTCTGGCTTCACGCTCTCCAACCTGCTCCCCTAGTGGGCCCTTGACTGTAGCTTGTCCTTCCTTGAACCTGAAAGGCCAGTGTGAGTCCACTGCAGACCCACAACGCAGGTTACGTAGGAGCAGGAGAGAGGAGCCCAGCATGGTGCTGCATGAGCCGTGATGGGGATGATTTGGGAAGGTGGAGACAGGTTTGCTGTTAACCTAGTGGTCCCAGCCAGGCCAAACAAACACCCCGACTCTACCACCCCAGAGTCTATAGAAACCTTGTGGGCCAAAGAATCACTGAGTATTTCCCCTTTCAGGAAGCCTAGGAATGCGGTGGCCTTCAGAGGCATCTCCATCCCAGCCTCTTTAATGTGGATTCACACCCTTGGCGGAGTCTGTCATGAAATCATTCTTCTTGAGCTGTGGGAAGAAGATAATTTTCACCTGAGCATCCACCGCTTTGCGATCCCATCCCACAAAATGGGAACACAATAACGAGAGGCTGAGTTTACACCTTTATGTAGAAAGGGCTCTTACCGATTCATTAGGGGCAGGAGGAACACAAAGAAAATTGACAGAACAGTCACCAAATACACAAACGCTGAAATCCAAATGGCCAAACAACTTGGAAAATTATTTTGTCTTACCATTCAAAGATTAAAATTCAATGATAATAAATTTCACTTACCAATCGGGAATAGTCATTGAAATGCTATTAATTAACAGTTGAGGCTTCAGGGAAATAGAGAAGTGTCTATATTGCTAAGGTGATTGTGAATCACCTCTCTCTTGAGGGTGTGTGGCTGCTGGACATAGCCCTGTTCTTCAGTTGGGCAATTTTATTTGTGCACACATCTGATTATTGACTTTGAATAAAGTCCTAGAAATGAAATTACACTTTTTATTAAGATATGAGAAACTATAAAGCATTAGGTGAAAAAAAAATGCAGGTTACAAATTAGTCTTTACAATACCTTCCTATTTTTGTTAAACAGTATATGATCCCTTATATACCAAAATGTCAAATATACCAAGTCTTTCTGGAAGGTAGGATTACAGATAATTTTCTTTATTTTATATTTTCTTGGTTTTTTACTTTTTATTTCTATTTTATTTTAGAGACGGTCTCGCTCCATCACCCAGGCTAGAGTGCAGTGGTACAATCAGCTCACTGCAGCCTCGAACTCCTGGGCTTCAGTGATCCTCTCACCTCAGCCTCCCAAATAAATGGGACTACAGGTGCATGACACCACACCTAGCTAACTTTTTAATTTTTAATTTTTTGCAGAGACGTGGTCTCACTATGTTGCCCAGGCTGGTCTCAGGCTTCTAGCCTCAAGTGATCCTCCCATCTCAGCCTCCCAAAATTCTGGGATTACAAGTTTGAGTTACCATACGAGCCTTAATTTTCTACATTTTGAATCCAAAATACCCCAAAAAATCTTGCTCTGTATAAATTTACAAATCAATAAAATGCAATAAAAACTGTCTCAGAAATAGACCTATGAAATACAGGTACTTAGCCTCCAATAAAGGGGCCTTTTAGACCAGGGCAGGGAGAGCTGGACTGCGCAGTGAGCAGTGCTGGTAAACCGGCTGGCTGGGCACGACAACACCATGTTGGCTTCCTACTCCTGACCTCACACTAGGTTCCAGGTGACTCAGATACGTGAAAAGATGAAATCCTTAAGGTATGAGAAAAAGCTGGGCGAGCTTCAAATATTACTCTAGTGTAGAGAAGGCCTCTGCAAGTATGAGACAAAGCCAAAGAGGAGCCGTTGACAAGTTTAATTATCTTTCAGAAGAAAACCCATGTTGGTGTAAACAAAATTACACAAACACAACAGAGCAAATTTAAAAGTTACATGAGAAAATTTACAAAGCGTTTGTGGTTCTTCTTATAGACTAGGGATGCAGAGGTTGGAAGGGAGCTCCTTCCGGCTGCTGGGGCTCATTCTCCCAGGACTGGCTTCACCAAGGGGAGACCCACTTTCCAGAGGCAGCATCTTGTGATTGGTTCAAGAGGGCGAACCAGACACCAAGCCCCCTGTGCCTCACTAAGGGACAACTCCACAGGGACCCCCCTCCAGCCGCACACATGTGCTTTTTCCGCAGTTCCATGGAGTGTGGTTCCCAAGGACAGGCCTCAAAGAATCCCTGCCTGCAAAGCTCCGTCTTCGAGTCTATTTCCTGGGGAACCAACCTAAAGCAAGGGCAATGTCCTTAAGATATAAAGAGCATCTACAAATGAACACAACAAAGGCCAAAAATAGAAACTTGACCATTCATTGAAAAGGAAGCACCAATAGCTCTCAAACTAAGAAAAATGCAAACGAAACCATTTTCACCCATCTGTTGGCAAAATGAATGTGTGACACTGGCGTTGGAGAGGCTAAGGGAGGACAAGCATTCTTGGATATATTGCCAGGGACTAGAAACTAGTAGAAATTTTATGGAGTCAATTTAACATATCTATCAAAACAAAAATGCACATGCCCTTTGACCTGGAAATCCCATTTCTAGAAATGTAGTCACATGCACAAAATGCAATAGCATATATCTGCAAGACATTTATTGCAGCATTTTTCATACTAGAAAATGTTATTATACAACCTCAATTCCATCAGTAGGGAACTGGTTAAATAACTTATGATACATGCACACATTTCACAAGTGGCCATTCAATTACATGGAATATCCTCATAAGAACAGATTTGGAGGGAATGGCTGGGAGAGGTGGCTCATGCCTGTAGTCCCAGAGCTTTGGCGGGCCAAGGTGGGTGAATCGCTTGAGCCCTGGAGTTCAAGAACAGCCTTGGCAACATGGTAAAATCCTGCTCTCTACAAAAAATGCAAACACTAGCCAGGCGTGGTGGCACACGCTTGTAGTCCCAGCTACTCAGGAGGCTGAGGTAGAAGGGTCGCTTCAGTCAGGGAGGTCGAAGTTGCAGTGAGCCAAGATGGCACCACTGCATTCCAGCCTGGGTGACAGAGTGAGACCCTGTCTCAAAAAAAAAAAAAATCAATTTGGAGGGATCGCCCGCATATAAATGGGGGTGGAAGTTTGAGAGCAGTGTGTGTAGTATACTACCTATGTGTAAAACAAAAAGGAAATGCGCATGTCAAAGACTGTCTCATTCTCAGAGCGGGAGCTGAGCAGCGGGGTGGGATGGAGCCCAAGACTGCGGTCTGGCCTTAAGAACATTTTAGATTTTGCACATGAAAATGTAATCTCTATTAAAAAAAAAAACACACAATTAGGTTTTGAAAAGAATCCTTGCCTTTGCAGGGGTTGTGAAATGGAAGTTGAAGTTTTTGTCCTCTGTGAAGCAGTAGCTCTCTACAATGGAGCCGTTTGTTAATTGAATCTGATACCGAGTGTGATACAGGGAAATCAAGCACAAGGAAGCACGCGGCTCCCAGCTCATTTCCCCCAAGGGTGGGAGGCTGGAGGAGCGATGAAACAAACAGCATGTTTACACTGAGAAATCTAGAGAGATCCTCAGCATCACTGAACTTCATACCTGATTAGAATGAAAGAGAGTGGCTAATTCTCACTTCTGCTCCTAGAATAACACGTTTCACAGAGCCTTAGAAAAGCCTGATGCCTGCAGCCTGTTCTCTCAAATATACCTTTTTTTCCATGAGCCTTAAAGTGCGATACAGGCAGCCGCTCAAGTCCACACACTTCTCCCTCACGCACTGTTTGGCCCTTCAGACGACCTGGTCAGGTGGTCATCGTGGTCACTAGGGCCGGCTTGTGGATAAGAAAGCTCATCTCCAGGAGGTGACGGCAAAGCTGGCCTCCCTCAGGCCTGCAGAGGACCAACTCTTTCCACGGCAGTGACTGCCTGTGACTTCTGCTTCCCTTCCTCTCTAGAAATGTGTCCAGTCCTTTTTCAGTGTCACCCAGGACTTCCTCCGTCTGCTGGAGGACTGGAAAGGGAACTTTCTGTCTCACGCCGAGGTCGGCTTCTCCTCTCGGAAGGTGTCGTTTGTTCCTGGTGCTGAAAGGTTTAAGCTGCAGAAGTGAACGCACGTTTCAGAATCGGATGGTCTCTGAATTGTGCTCCCTGAAGGATGCGGGTGGGGTGGGAGAGAAGCTGAGATCTGTTTCAGAACCAATCCTGGGCTTGGGGAGCTTTTAGGAGGATTTGCTGCCCTAAATTAACTGCCCACCCTTCTTTCTGTCAGGTCATCTGTGACAAAATATTTCGCCATTGGTTTTCAGCACCTCTCAAGAGCTCTGCAGTCTCTTTCCAGCTTCAGCTGCAGTTACAGGAGGCGGTGCAGGAATGTGCAGACCCTGTGGTCCCCAGCGGGAACACCCAGAGAGCAGCCCCCAGCATGTTCTGGAAGCTTCGCAGACTCCTCCAAGCCACACTGAGGGAGCTGCAGGAGGCAGAGGAGTAGCCACTTACTGGCCTTAAACAAGCTCACACGGGAAAAAAGAGACCTTGATGGATTTCCTCTGCCATGGTTTTAAAGATGAGCCATTTCCCTGTGCAAACCAGTGATCTCTGGGGTGCTGTTCTGGCCTCCACAGTGTGGAGTGCCAAGTGCTGCTGCCAGAGACGTGCCTCCCTCGCTCTGGTCCTGCCCTGGCCTCTGACCCGCTGCCTGGTGTAAAATGTGTTGAGGGAGGGGTGGGGTACAGAGCATTTTACTTCAGGGCTCTCTGTCAGAGGCGCAAACCTGTGTGCAATTGCTCAGTGCAGAGGGCACTTGCGCCTGTCATCCCAGCAGAGTTCCAGCTGCTCCTTCCTATAAATCGTTACCACATTAAAGTGTGTGTGCATGCAAATGAACGTGTATGCCTGTGCCTGGGTGCAAACGAGCATGTGAACATGTGTGAGTGTGCACACATGTGCCCGAGTGTCTGCATGTGTGTGCGTACAGGTGAGTGTGCTCATGAGGCATATGTGCGCCTGTGTGAATGTGTATACAAGTGTGAATGGGTGTGTGCACATGAGTGCACAGGTGTCAGCATGTGTATAAGTGTGGGCACATGTACATGACTGAGTGGGAGCAGGTGAGTGTGTTGGGGATGTGCGTTAGGGTGGGAGTGGTGCTTTCTCTAGTGTGTCCTCTGGAACAACTTGTCTACCTAGCAAAGAAGTGTGACCTTTCTTTTGGAATACAATAAAAAAAATACATTTTTAGGGAATGTAATTTGCATTGCAGAGTGTGTAATGGCTGGCAGCTTACAGTATTTCTCATTTTGTGGAATCCACCAAGGTTATAGATGGGGCTTTCGGGAGCCACGTATTGTACACACCTTCCCCTGGCAGGAATTGTAGGTTGGCTTGATGCAGCATTGTCTTCCCACTCGAGAGAAAATTTAAAATAGAGCGAATGCTGAGGTCAGCATTGGCTCCAGGCAGGACCAGAGACCCGCACCTTTCTTTTGTGGATTGAAGACCAAGTGATAAGCATCAACTCATACTGCAGCATGATGTGCTCATCAGTGCTGATCCCAAGGAAGCTTTTCCAGCAAAAGACAGACGGGGCATGTCCATGTGGAGCCAGTGAGCTTTCACTTAAAGGGACCTGGTTTCTACTTATACCTGTGACCCATGAGTGTTCAACAAACCAACTGATCACCCCTTTTAGAATTCCCATGAAAAGGGAAATTGAGAAAGATGAGAGAATCCGGAAATCATGTTGGCGGGTTATACATTGGAGAAGACATATTAATCTGACGTTTTAAAGGTCACAAATCGACACATTACAAATGATCTCTTCTCCTGGCCTGCAGCCCCTTTCTACACCTGAGAAAGGGGAGTGCCTTCTTCCGTACTTTGGGATTACCTTTACTGACTCTGCCCCTCAGGGCACTCTGAGAAATGATGTGTGGGACTAGGTTGATCAGAGACCCCAGCTGTAAATTCTGCCTTCCTCAAGGACCTGTTGGAAGGCCCGCGGCCAGCTGCTATTCTTATCCATCACCACTGGGGATCTTCCAAATGACACCGAGTTCCACAGAGGGCCTCCTCTCATCACGGACAGGAAGACTGGCTTTGCAGTTGTATTCTAGCAAGAAGAAAAATACCCACGTCAGCCACCCTGTGGCACAAGTAAATTAAAACCAAGTTCCAGGGCGAGGCCTAGGACTAGTGGATTCCACAGGAAAGGGGGCTCTGGGCTGTCGGGCTCCTTTTCTCTCCAGAGCTGCGCTGGGTGTGTTGCCATTCTGTGGCGGTCGGGACATACTTTGGGTGATGTTCACCTTCTGGGCAGGTTCTCTACAAGCAAAAAGGTTTGCAGGAAGACGGGTGTGAGATGGAGGGAGAGAGGGAAGGAAGGAAGCCACCCGGTGTTGCCCTCTGTGCCCTTTAAACAGTGGGTTTTGCTCTGGGAGGTCAAGTGGTTCTCTCATGGGTGGACTCTGGAATGCCAACCATTCTTTAGTGGCCTGAGCTCAGTGACCAGGCAGCAAAGCCAGCCTGGAAACGGGAAAAAATTAGTTTTCCTTTCAACCAAAATGGAAAGACACATTTTTGTTTACTGTGGAGACTATGCAACATATAATTACCCAACACAATTGTGGTTTTATTGCTGAAAGGGAGCTGTTTTCTCTCTTCCTGTTATGTTTGACTACCCAGTTATACACACACACACACACACACACACACACACACTTTTCCATCCCTGCCTGGGAATTCCCATTAGGGCAGCAGCTCTTAAATTGTGGTGAAGCTTAGTTTGGTTTTTAATTTTGAAACCTTGCAAAATAATGCTTTTATATAATGTAATAAATTAACACTGTGTATATCAATATTTAGTATTCTGAATATGGCAAATGAGTTTTCTTCTGGCTGATCTAATTGGGCAACAGCCCCACTCATAGAGGAAAATGTCTCCCTAAATGATTTCTATGTTTTGTTATAATAACACATGGTAGACAGAATACTCTCAGAGACACGTTGATGGGATCTGAAAAAGATTATAAACTCATCAAGCTCAGGCTATTTCTCTTTAAGTTTGATCCAAATGAAAGCAAATGATGCTTTATTCATCTCCAGTTCTTCAGCAGGATTCCTTTGCCACGATTTACCTAGATAAATTGTAGTTAAAACGTCATTTGATGAAAAGAAAGAATTCCATAATTGTATGCTCTATTGGCTTACAGCTGACAAACCGTAACACATTGTGGTTTGTGTAGAAATTGTAGGTGGCTCAGGCTACTTGCTTGTGGATACCTGGACTGGTCAGCAAGTCAGTTGGCCAACATCAAATGGCAATGTCACATAACATCACAAATGTTTGCAAACACTGCCAATATTGCTAAACCCTCCTCTCAATTCTCATCTCATATGAGGCAAATAAAAGCTAACAGTCCAGAGACATGCCGCCTCCTAGAAGCCCACCAGGCTTAGCCTCCCATGCCTCCTGGCCCATCTAAAGCCCAGCCTGCTCAGCCCTCCTAGAGTATCTAAGATGAACATCCAGGACATTGCCTTAAATGATTGGAAGAATGACTATTTTTAAAACTTGATTGGGAAGCTGTTCTTTGAATAGCAGTAGGTGGAGGAGTTTGGCTGAAAATCTTTTAAACCAATGACGGCATGAAGATGCTCTTGTGTTTACCACACTAGCCCCTGTGTTTGGCAAACAAATGCCACTTTGGCTCTAACATCTGTTAGTTCAGGGAAAACAGCTATGGAAAGAAGTGCCCCCACCTGGTTCACCTTCATGTGCTGCTGCTCCTTAAAACCTGCCTTTTACTTCTGTATCTTTAAGAATGCAATCTGTTACAGCTGAAGCTGATGGAGTTGGTTATTGATTTTCTTTTAAAGCCTTACCTCCCAGAGTCTGTTCCTTACCTTCTAAATTGGGGATAACCACCTCGCTCACAGCCTGTTGGGAGGATTTAAGGAGATGATGAGCACCAAGCTTGTGGTACAGGGCCTGGTGCAGAAACAGGCACGGGAATCTTCCACAAATGCCAATGGAAGGACTCCAGGGAGGGGACCAGCTTCGGAATCCCACTATGCCAGCACTCCAGCTCAGGAAGACCCAGCACTGGGCTTTAACTCCGCACAGAATTGTTCCTGGAGCCACTCTCCGTGGATGGTGGTCTTGGCTAAAAGGTTCGTCCAGGTTTTCCTTAATGACCTAAAGCAGCAGTCCCCAGCTTTTTTGGCACCAGGGACTGGTTTCATGGAAGACAGTTTCTCCGTGGGCAGGGTGGGGAGGGGGTTGGTTTTGAGATGATTCAAGCGCACTACATTCATTGTACACTTTATTTCTATTATTACATTGTAATATTTGATGAAAAAATTACATAACACACCGTAAGGTAGAATCAGTGGGAGCCCTGTGCTTGTGTTCCCGTAACTTGATGGTCTCATCTGAGTTGATGGGAGACAATGACCCATCATCAGGCATTAGATTCTCATAAGGAGCACGCAATCTAGATCCCTCATATGTGCAGTTCACAATAGGGTCCGCGCTCCTCTGAGAATCTAATGCTGCAGCTGATCTGACAGGAGGTGAAGCTCAGGTGGTGACGTGAGTGATGGGCAGCAGCAGTAAACACAGATGAAGCTCCACTCACTTGTTCCCTCTCTCTCCTGTGGTGCAACCCAGGTCCTAAGAGGGCCCAGACCAGTCCTGGTCCATGGGGATTTGGGGGTTGGGAAACCCTGAATGAAAGGAGACCAGAGAGTGGATACAACTGGACGCTGCTCTCAGTGGACACTGACATCCTCGGCCAGCTTCTGCTGCTGAGCCCCAGCACATTTTAAGACTAGGTGTTGACAAATCACAAAAATTGGATATTATTGGTTGATTCCATTTCTGCCTATTTAATAGGAGTGGGAGACATAGATCTTATCAATTTGCATTTCCACGTCACTGGTGAGGCTGTGCTCATACATTAGCTACATGTCTGCTTTTTTGGTGAATTGTGCACATACTTCGCTCATTTTTTGCTAGGTCATCTTTCTAAAAAATGATTAATCTGGTATTGATGCTGCAGATATTTTCTTCCAATGCATGGTCTGTGTAATTATGTCTGCCGCTGTCAGAGAGGAAACAGATGACTGAGGCTGGCTACTCTTCTAAAAACATACTTTGTTTTCTTTCACTGTTGAGGACACTTTAGGGTAAAAGGCTGTCTGACCGTTTGTCCCCCCAAGTCTAATGGCTTTCAAGTTTGCTGTCTAAAATGTATCCTAGAGAGCTCCTGGGCCATGCCCTCTCCCGGACTGGCTACTTTTGCTTTGTGATGTGAGAATACCCAGGAATGATTTGTCCCCTCTTTTGGATTCTGAAACTTGCCTTGAAGGGTTTTGATCCCCAAGTCTGGCCTTCCTTCTGCGCCTTGTATTTTGCCAGTGGGGTGTCGTTCACTCTTCTTGTGTGTTGCTGAGGCTCAGCCTTTCAAGAAATCCTACAGGACACTTTGAAGATCAGAGAAAGGTGTTTGCTGGGCTGCACTGTGAGTGTCTTGTCTGAGCAGCTGGCATGGCCTGCTGGGCTGGACCCCTATCAACTGCAGTAGGGCTGGCAGTAAAGCAGCTACACTGTCTGGGGTCTATGTCCTGGGGTTCCTTGTCGTGCCGAGAAAATTTAAGACATGGACACACACGAGGAGTTTAGGAGCAGAGGTTTAATAGATGGGAAAGAGAAACAGCTCTCTGCATAGAGAAAGGGGTCTCCAAGTGGGAAGGACCAGCTGGAGGCGAAGGCACCAGATTTTAGTGTCTGGTCTGAGGAGGTATCCGACTCACCTCGGACTCACAGATTGACAGGATTGGGTATGATGTTTACATGGTGCATGGGGGAGGGGAAGGATGGTCACCTCACCCTAATCTTATTAGGCAAATGGGCTTTCCAGTGGATCGGGCCATCTTGTCTGCTCAACTCTACACGTGGCTGGCAGAGAAGGGAAGGTGGAGCTGGCATCCTCAAGCTGTCTAGTCCCTAGCTTCCGCCAGCATTCACTCATGCGGCCTCCCAGCTTGCTCGTCTCTGTTAGCAGCTTGACTTTAAAGGCTGCTCGTTGCTAGAAAATGATTTGGGGCTGTTTTTCATTAAAAAGTAAAGCCCTACTGAGGACTCCCAGGCCCTCACTATCTGCCTAAGTAATTGCTTCTCAGCTCCTGTATCAGCAGGTTTGGGAGGCTGAAGCAAACACCCAGAGTCAGCACACCAGGCATAG